GAGAGAGAGAGAGAGAGAGAGAGAGAGAGAGAGAGAGAGAGAGAGAGAGAGAGAGAGAGAGAGAGAGAGAGAGAGAGAGGCAAACACACGCATGGATGCTCGCGGTCACACACACACATGGCAATCATGGTATGTTTGATGATGAATGCAATGACTGTGAGAGCACGGTCAAAGGACTTACCACCATAATGTCCCATACGATGTGCATGCGCTCTTCGATACCTGGCATCCAACACCGCCCTTCAAACAGTCAATCAACTATAAAAGTATGATGACAATATAAATGATCTTTCCAGTTATTTTGATATCAAATTATCGAGTTCATAATTTTATTTGCAAGGAATATGAGTGAGAGCGATAGACAGAAAACCAAGTTGCAAAATCACGAAGTAGTCCAGATAGTCATGTACCAAGCAGAGAGCACAATGCACCAAGATTCCATCCAAATAAGAGCAATACAATGAGCTCGAGTGTCAATGCCAACGCTCCCTGGTCACACCAACACTGTATCCAATTTCGCTCCTACTGTCTGGCACCCAGTGCCCAGCCTACTCTACCCAGCCTATCTGTCTGGCACCCAGTGCCCAGCCTACTCTACCCAGCCTATCTATCCTATCTACGTTCTTGCGACTGAATCACATCGAAGTCGAAGACCAATGTACGTGATGTCAACACCAATGCCGACCACCAGCATACACCAGGTACGTTCTCTCTCCTCCCCTCATCACACCTTGATCCCCTCTGCATGCGCCTCCTACCCAAAGACCACCATTGCCATCACCTACCCGAAGATCACCATCGCCAACTTCTTAGATGGCATCTTACTCATGTAAGGAAGAAGAAGAAGAAGAAGAAGAAGAAGAAGAAGAAGAAGAAGAAGAAGATAATATTTTCTCTCTCACAACTGCCGTGCGGGTGCTGCCGCGTTACCGAAGGCACGCGGACGGGTGGGCTGCTGTTGATGGGGTGCGTACAGGTGGGCTGCTGTTGATGGGGTGCGTACAGGTGGGCTGCTGTGTCGAGCTGTCAAGGGCGGGCACAATGGCAGCGAAGTTGCTACTTCCGCAGGAGACGCAAAAGTGAAAGTGGGTTTCGGGAAAACGAGGCGCAGCATGGGGGGCAGCGGGAGGCAACGGCTGGCGCATGGTGGGGGTAGAGGCCGCCGCCAGATCCCGCCCAAATCATTTGAAAAGGACGGCTGATCTGGGCTGCCGATCTCTCGAGATCGGCGGTGCGGATAGGTTGCCCTTTTGAAACGAGTTTGGGCGGGCCCTACCAGACCAGTATCAATTTCGTTTTTGGCCCGCAGGCCTCCTACACACCCTGGGGCAAGGTCCCACTTGCACAAATTTGGAGATTTCGGCCGTTGATCTCTGCTATGGACGGTCAGTGTCTCTTAATTCGTGCTAGTGGGACCTAGCCCCTGGAGCCCCCCCCATGGCCTTTGGACCCCGGTCCGGCCGGTCCGACTGGATGATTCCGGCTCGAGGAGGGGCTCCCGGTCGGACTGGGGACCAACACTGCTCGCGAGCCCTTTCAAATTTCAATACAAATTCTAAAGTAGTTTTTTTTTTTTGTATTTTTTTACACAAATATCATTCGGTGAATTTCAGTCATCACAGGAACGCAGGCCGCCTTTTTTTTTTAAGCAACGCAGGCCTTCACCGGGTGTTTTTTTTTTCTTTTTTTTTTCTTTTTTTTGAATCTGGTCATCTGCTAGACCGAGCCCTTGAAAACCTCAGTGGCCTACAGATTCATGCTTGTGTGGCAAACAAGCCCTGCGCCATGTGAGCGGACATGTTAACTCTGTAGCCGGCCATGTTAACTCTGTAGCTGTTTGTGAGTGATGGCTGATCAGTGGCCAAGTGAGAGAACAAGGGAAAGAACAACAGACACAAATCATCTTATGTGCATTACGTTATCTTCGGGTACCTCAGGGGTGCTTAGCATTTCCAATTTTCCACCAAAGTACCTAATGTAGCATCATTACGCAAGTGCAACATGGTGCGCAGTAAACAAAATCCAAACAACATCTTATACGCATCGCGCAAGATAAATACTCACTAAGGAAGGTACCTTGTTGTCCTTTGTTAAATCAATGACACAAATGTGACAAGTCACAAATGTAATTAGTAATTACTAATTAGTAATTACAAATGAGTAATTACTAATTAATAATTAGTAATTACCAACTGGGCCTCCCGGGACCACATGTAATTACCAACTGCGCCCCCGGGCCACCCGGGACCGATGTTGACAATGGTAAACCTGGGACGTTGGACCTGATTTCCAGCAGGTGCTGCTCCCCAGCAATAGACAGGAGCTATCCGCAGGCCGCTGCTGCGGGAGGATGCTCATATCACCCCCTGCAGCAGGGCCGGGCAGTGCTTGTTTGTTTGTTTGTTTTGAAACACACACACACACACACACACACACACACACACACACACACACACACACACACACACAAAGACTGCTATTGGAACGTAAATGTCAATCGATTTCAGCACGAGCATTTCCGCTATCGCTGCCGTTCACACAAGCGAGTTTGGAGATTGGTCGATGAGGGATTCTTGAGGATTACCATTAACTCCATTAGGAATGAGTTTGAAATCATGCTGCCCTTTCCGCTTCTGAGTGGAATTGAATACTGCATGGTCTGTACCGACTAACTGAGAAAATCCCAAAAAAGCCATCACCACGAAACGAACAGGATGGTAGTTGCACTAATATAAGCATCATCTTAATACAAAATTTTGATTATATCTGTTTGACAACTTTGATGATATATAGGAAAAAAATCGGCATCATCTGTTACTAACAATACGCATGGTGTCATACCTTTCTCGGCCTTTTGGCTAAGTAAGATCAAGTGTAGTATCTGTTCTGATCAGTTTAATATCTGATCCGTGGTCCATCGGACCACATTACACACACACACACAAAAAAAAAAAAAAAAAAAAAAAAGACAATACAGATGGTGTGACACTACAGCTTTCCAGGGGTGGGGTTAACTAAAGAAATTTTACCTCAGGGTCACATCGAAATTCGTTGCCAACGTAAAAATAAAGAATCGAAATAAAAACTTAAAAGTTAAAACTATGAATTTAGTTAAACACAAACTTAAACTAATAAAAAGTACATATATCTAGGCTACAAGAGTGGCCCGGGTCCACTTGCCCGGACAGGCCAAAAAAAAAAAAAAAAAAAAAAAGAGGCGCACCAGCCTGCACATTCATTCATCCCTTTCATCTAGCGGCAAATTTTTTATTTTAAATTTGGTAGAGAATTTCGATGTGACCCTGAGGCAAAAGTTGTTCAGTTTATTTTTCTGCATCACATAGTTGTTTTTTAGGATTTTTCGTTTTTTTTTTTTTTTTTTTTGCTTGGCCCTTTCCTGGTCCTTGCACGGCTGGGCTGCCCGGGAAGACAGGGCGACCCGGGTGGCCCGGCTGGTAGCCTAGCCAGATATATATATATATATATCGTCAAATAGAACTGCCCGGTAAACCGTAGGCAGAGTTATAAGAGTTTTCCATCTGGTGTGGGTGAGTGATAGTCTACTTTGATTTTGGTTAAGGTAGATTATCATTTACAGTGTAATCAGTGAGGGGATTCTGCAGACTGTTGAGGGTTCAGCCTCCTGATGAGTCGGTGAAACTCC